GTTCTGACTGCCAGGAAATTTCTCCTTAGTTCCAGGTTGCTTCTCTTCTTGATTAATTTCCATTTGTTGCTTCTTGTTCTGCCTCTCGTTGCTTTGGAAAATAAATTGACCCCCCTTTATGGCAGCCTCTCAAATGTCGGAAGACTGCTGTCATGAAATGAATGAATTTCATATGAAATAAAGGAAGACTTCCAAGCCTGTTTTAGGTGCAACCTACGCCTGGCTGAGCATTGTGATGCAGCTTTCCCTTTTCGCCCATTTGTTTAGGAAGAAGTGGCTAAGCTCTCCTGTCTCCTAATAAATTCTCCCCCAGGACTAACCCACCCCAAGAGGCTTCTTGTAGCTCTCCCTGGATTGGCTTGTTGCTTGGAAAAGAAGGGATTCTCTCATGATTTCCTCTTGTCCTGTGAGACACGATGGGGGAGCATCTCCTTCTTCCAAAGACTGCAACCTTTAAATCGTGCCTTTCCTCACCTCCCCCCACTTTTGTTGCTGCTCTTTAAGGATTTTTCAGTTCTGAAGTCCTCAGGGCCCCTTCCTTGAGGTCTTAGAATAGATTAGATTAGATTAGGGTAGAATAAGAGTGGGAAGGGACCTTGGAGGTCATCTAGTCCAACCCCCTGCTCAGGCAGGACACCCTATACCAGTGATAGCGAACCTTTTAGAGACCGAGTGCCCAAACTGCAACCCAAAACCCACTTATGCATCGTCGGATGCCGGGTGTGTGTGGCCCATTGGGTGGGCATGGCTGCAGTGGTAACGGCAGACTGGATGGGACTAAAAAGTTCAATCAATCAATTCCAACTTTGCAAGAACTTTTTTTTTCCCTCGAGAAGTTGAAATTGACTGAACCTTTTTTTTTTTTTGCACATGGTGGCGGAGGTCTAAAGCGAAAAGGTTTTATAAAACCCAGCTGAAGGCCTAGGACTGGGGCGACGACGCGCGTGCCCACAGAGAGGGCTCTGATTGCCGCCTCTGGCACCCGTGCCATAGGTTCGCCACCAGTGCCCTATACCATTTCAGACAAACGGTTGTCCAGTCTCTTCTTAAAAACTTCCAGTGTTGAAGCACCCACAACTTCTGAAGGCAGGTTGTTCCACTGATTAATTGTTCTAACTGTCAGGTCCTGGGGAGTGGGAGGGAAGGAAAGCCAATGAGGTCCTAAGTGGCATTAACAGAGGGATAGAATTGAGATCACTTGAAGTGTTAATACCGCTTTACAATGCCTTGGTAAGGCCACACTTGGAATACTGCATCCAGTTTTGGGTGCCACAAGAGTAAAAGATGTTGAGACTCTGGAAAGAATGCAGAGAAGAACAACAAAGATGATTAGGAGACTGGAGGTTAAAACATATAAAGAATGGCTGCAGGAATTGGGTACGTCTAGTTTAATGAAAAGAAGGACATGGGGAGAGATGATAGTGGTGTTCCAATGTTTGAGGGGCTGCCGCAAAGAAGAGGGGACCAACCTATTCTCCAAAGCCCCAGAAGGCAAGACAAGAAAAAAATGGATGGAAACTGAACAAAGAGAGAAAGAAGCAAGCTACAACTAAGGAGAAATTTCCTGACAGTGAGAACAATTAACCAGTGCAACTACTTGCCTCCAGAAGTTGTGGAGGCAATGTGCTCCAACATTAGAAGTTTTTAAGAATAGACTGGACAGCCATTTGTCTGGAATGGTGTATGGCAAACATGTCAAACACAAGGCCCGGGGGCTGGATGTGGCCCGCGAAGTGGTTTCATGTGGCCCATGAAATCATCCTGGAAACAGTGAGGGAACGGCCCCCCGCTGCCTTGGCCCTGGCTGGCCGGGAGCCAATGTACAATTTTGCGGTGGCCATCTATACTGAAACGCATTTAGTCTTAGCTCCACAAGGCATCTGGAAACAGTGAGGAACCAGCCCCTGCTGCGTTGGCCCCGCCCCCTGGGTGCATGCTGGGGAGGTGTCACCCTTTGTGAGGAATGAAGAAATGGACCATGCCTTGGCGCTTGCCCCGGTCCCACCCTCTTCTGCCAGAGACCCTCAGATCTGTCCCACTCCTGCCCAGGCCCCCACAGGCACCCTTGATGTGAACGATGTAGAGCTGGCCATGCCCACCCAGTAGGCCACACCCACTCCATCGACGCCCACCCAGTAGGCCGCACCTACCCTGGCCGCACCCACCCGGCCCCCCAAGGGCAACCGCAAGGCTGATGCAGCCCTCAATGAAATTGAGTTTGACACCCCTGGACTAGATGACCCGGTTCCAGGGAAGGTCGAGAACAATAAGACGTAAGATAAGACTTTGCCCCGTCCCCTACGGACAACGTGAATGGATAACGCTTGAGCAGCTTCCTCTACCGCCACCTCGACGACGGGTCCCGTAACCACTGCCACTCCCAGTGGAACATGAAAAACCACCTCTTGTCCACCCCCATCGCCTACATCGTGGACAAAAACCGCCCCGTGTCCTTCTCACAGACGATCTCCTGGGAGTCGTGTCTGGGGGAGGGGGGGCAAGGAAAAGACGTCAAGGTGGACCTCAGGGAGACATACGCATGCAAAAGAGGGGCACAACTGCCATCCCCAAATGAATGGCTGCCCTCTGGCTTGTTTGCACCCCCTTGTGGACCCCCCTGGAGGACCCCCCCACATCAGACATCTCGGTGCTCCCTCCAGCATTGGCAACCCTCTACTGCACCCCCCCCCGGCCCACTCCTCCATAGCTGGCTGAGGAATTCTGGGAGTTGAAGTCCACAAGTCATAAAAGGGCCAAGTTCGAAGGCCTCTGGTCTAAGGTATCTGAGATACCATCGCACCCCAATGGGATTGGCTCGTCCCACTTGGTCTGGCAGAAGGGGCCCTCCTGCTGACCCCATAGGTCAGGAATTTTGGCTAGCGGGGTCCAGGAGAAGAGCCTCCTCTGCTATGGCCGCCACTCTCTGGAACACCATGCCGCCCAAGGTGAGATCCGCCCCCCCCTTTGGACTTCTGGAAGGTTCTCAAATCCTGCCTCTGCCAACTGGCCTGAGGTCCGGATGTAGGTGTCCCATTCTGGAGACAGCTACTGGCCCTAGGACGGTGATGGCGAACCTTTTAGAGACCGAGTGCCCAAACTGCAACCCCAAACCCACTTATGCATCGTCGTGTGTCGTGTGGGTGTGGCCCATTGGCTGGGTGTGGCCCATTGAATGGGCGTGGCCCATTGAGTGGGCGTGGCTGCCGTGGTAACGGCAGACTGGGTGGGACTAAAAAGTTCAATCAATCAATTCCAACTTTGCGAGATCTTTTTTTTCCCCGCGAGAGGTTGAAATTGACTGATTGATTGAACCTTTTTTTTTTTGCACACGGCGGCGGAGGCCTAAAGCGAAAAGGTTTTATAAAACCCAGCTGAAGGCCTAGGACTGGGGCAACAGCGCGCGTGCCCACAGAGAGGGCTCTGAGTGCCGCCTCTGGCACCCGTGCCATAGGTTCGCCACCACTGCCCTAGGAAGAAGGTCGAACCCCCACCCCATAGTATCCTGGCTTCTTAACTTATTTAATCCCTGTTTATTTAATGTTTAATGTTTAAATGTTTTGTGCCCTCTGTTCTTTTGCTGTTTGCAAGCACTTTCAGAACTTGGTAACTATATGTCATGTGTCTGATTAACGAAACACTTAAAGGGACTTTCAGGCATAATTTTTCCTAAAAGCATTTATTAAGGTTACAGAGACGTCAGTACGGCATGGTGGAAATGCTTAGATCTGGCTTCTTTTCCGTTACACATATACATTCTAAGCATTTTCCCCTCCCTTATTTTGGGGTCATGGTTCACATCTTCCAATTAACTTGGAATATGTGATTTACTTCCGGTTTCTTTTTCCCGGGCTTTCCTTATTCTCCTCCCTTTTTCCCTGTTGCCTGGTTTAACTATAAAAATACCAGACAGTTCTGCATATTGTCAAAGCAAGAATATACAGTATTTGCAGCGTTGACACTATATTTATATATGTGTGTATGTATTTACTTACTTACTTAATTTTATTTATTTATATTTACATTATTTTTACAAATAATTCAAGGTGGCAAACATATTCAAGATGCTTCCTCCTCGTATTTTCTCCTCAACAGCAACCCTGTGAGGTGGGCTGGGCTGAGAGAGGATGAATAGCCTGAAGTTGCCCAGCTGGCTTTCATGCCTACCTAAGGCAGGACGGGGGAATTCTGGGAGTTGAAGTCCACCCATCTTCAAGCTGCTTTCCTGAGGCACAGCTTGTAACGCGAACTCAGGAACTGCATCTTGTTAACCGGGTTTTCTGTACTGATTTATCTTATTTAGAAAAGGAGCTCCATTTCCTTAACAACTAGGGGAGGCTCACCAAAAATACTATAAAAGCGGTCATAATCGTAAACGTTTTGTTAAAGTAAGGCTATATAACACGTTAAAGACTAGAACAGAAAACTTTAAAGCTCCAGATCAGGGAAGCACCCTGAAAAACATTCAGGAAAACCTTCCTCAGCTGTACGGATGGTCCTCAACTTACAACAGTTCACTTAGCGACCGTTCAAAGTCACAACGGTACTGGGAAAAGCGACTTATGACAATTTCTCACACTTACGACCGTTGCAGCTTCCCCAGGGGTCACGTGACCGAAATCCGGATACTTGGCAACTGACTCATTATTTATGACGGTCACAGTGTCCTGGGGTCATGTGATCCCTTTTTGCGACCTTATGAGAAGCAATGGGGAAGCCAGATTCACTTAACAACTGGGTTACTAAGTGAATCACTGCAGGTCGTAAGGTCGTAAACTGGAGCAAAATTCACTAAACAAATGTCCCACTTAGCAACATAAATTTTGGGCTCAGTTGTGGTTGTAAGTCAAGGACTACCTATAAATCTGTGGTTACAACCATTTTGCACGTCTGAGGTTCTGGACCTCCAACTGACTGGAAGTGCGCAAACTGGATTTGCCCCCCCCCCGGCCCAGACCCCCAAGGTCTGGCTTCCTAGGATGCATCTAAGTATTGAGGATGGACTTTGGGGTACCAACAACATGGACTTTATAGCATTGTTGTACTTGCTAACTAACATAGTGATTTTGTATTTCAATTTGACTTATTTTTCTCTCTTTTTAAAGGATGTTAATGGTTTATCCAGCCATTGCCGAGGGGAATGTAGAATGGATGGGTTGATAAGTTCTAACATTCTTAAACTGAAAAGTTAAAAATTGGTTTTGTTCCCCAGGTCAGGATAGGAGGAGACTGGGGTTTGTTTTAATAAGATGTCTGGAGTGTGTCTTCTGAGGAGAGAAAGCTTGTTAGAGCTAATTGGTACCTGGTTTGTCTCTCCAAACAACCGTGTGATTCTCCCCGCCCTTAACATCTTAAATTTTATGCCCCTGCTTTTGTCAGACTTTATTTAAACCAGAGGTAGTCAACCTTGGCTCTTTTATGACTCGTGGACTTCAACTCCCAGAATTCCTGAGCCAGCTGTGCTGGCTCAGGAATTCTGGGAGTTGAAGTCCACGAGTCATAAAAGAGCCAAGGTTGACTATCCCTGATTTAAACAAATGCGCGTGTTGCTACATGTAATATGTTTGACTCCATGTAACTGATTTCCTACGCAAAGGTAAAGCTAGTTTTGATCTGTCCAATCAATGTTATCCTTTTAGTTCCCCTTTGATGTCTTAATTATAAAAGAGAATGAAAGCCGAGGATCTGTCTGAATGAGAGGAATCCTTTTTCATCAGAATGTTCTGAATAAATGGTAATAAAATGATTTTCCTGTCTCATTGGAAAATACTTGTCCCAAGGCACGAGCCTAGAAACCGCATTTTGGCCCTCAGTATGAAATGAGCCCCCTTGGCAGGACCAGGTTTGTCCCCTCCCCCCACCCCCTTCCCCGGTCTGGGGTTCAAGGCTCAAGGCCCAGATGGCTGGAAAGGAGACCAGACCAAGCCCCAAAGGATTTGCACCAGGAACTTCTCTCCTTGTTCCCACCGGATGCTGGTTTGTGATCTTGGCTTACTCTCCGAAGCCCGACTTACATGACGGTGATGTTGAAGGTGTCGGGAATGTAGGTTGGGCTGGGCAGGTGCCAGCTGCAGTAGAAGCCGATGGGATAGTTGTTGGACCGGCACATCAAACTGGGCTCCCGGGGCGGTGCTGTGTGGGGGAGAGAGAGAGAGACAGAGAGACAGAGAGAATGAGAGAGAGAGAGAGAGAGAGAGAGAGAGAGAAAGAGAATGAGAGACAGAGAGAGAAAGAGAGAAAAAGAGAAAAAATGAGAGAAAGAGAAAAAAGAGAATGAGAATGAGAGAGAAAATGAGAGAATGAGAGAGAGAATGAAAGAATGAGAGAAAGAATGAGAGAGAGAAAGAGAATGAGAAAGACAGAGAAAGAGAATGAGAGACAGAAAGAGAGAAAATGAGAGAAAGAAGAGAATGAGAGAGAATGAGAGAGAGAAAATGAGAGAATGAGAAAGAAAAAAGAATGAGAGAGAGAATGAGAGAGAAAGAATGAGAGAATGAGAGACAGAGAGAAAGAATGAGAGAGAGAGAACGAGAGACAGAGAAAGAGAATGAGAGAGAGAGAAAAAGAGAAAATGAGAGAGAGAATGAGAGAGAGAAAATGAGAGAATGAGAAAGAAAAGAGAATGAGAGAGAATGAGAGAGAATGAGAGACAGAATGAGAGACAGAGAATGAGAGAGAGAGAAAAAGAGAAAATGAGAGAAAGAAGAGAATGAGAGAGAGAAAATGAGGGAATGAGAAAGGAAAAGAGAATGAGAGAGAAAGAGAGAGAGAGAGAGAGAGAGAGAGAGAGAGAGAGAGAGAGAGAGAGAGAGAGAGAGAGAGGTCAAATTTCCACGCTCTGCTGGCTGCAACTGAGAATATTTTCATTTCCTTCCAAGAAGCAATACAACTGACCGTCTACTGCTTGCCTTGTGATTGGGGTTGGGGTGGCTGATAGAAGAGAATGTTTGGGTTGAAGTGTAACAGCCACCATGTAGGATAGACAGGTGGAAGACTAGCAGAACATATCCATTTTTATTTATTATTAAATCTATGTTCTGCCTATCGCGTTTCTATGTGACTCTTACAGCATAAAAAAACATTAAAATCATCAAATATAAATACACACCCGATGAAAGCACAATACAAGGAGAATAAGTATTTCATGGTATCTGTGAACACCAACTAGCGGTCCAAAGACTTCTTCGTTGCACAGGAGAAGGACCGACTCAACCATAGTTTCAAGTGGGAAACTGTGAGCATCCGAGATAAAGCTAAATCTAAATTCCTAGGGAATTTCTGGAAGCCTGGCATTTCCAGGCAACCCAGCCATCAATAGACACAAAGAAATAAATAGAGATTAGACACCGTTCAAAAGAGACAATAAAAAAAGCTAAGAAGCAAACAAAAGGATCAGAATATATCCTGTCTGGCAGCCAAAACCCAGATAAGCAGGGATTAAGACCAGACAAACAATCAAGCAGAAAACAATAACTCAATCAAGGAACTACCAGCTCAGACAAACAATCAAACAATAAACAACAGCTTAATCAAGGAACCACCAAGAAGAAAACAACACTCTCACCGACACTGACAGGGCAAGGCACTATAACTAAATAGAAAGCTCACTTCTAGCACTGATGATGTTCCCTAGTCAGGCAATGAAACGTCTGCAAGAAAACAGCCAAGCTCAGAGAGCACCAAGGACCACACAATCATTCTCATCCTCATCTTCCTTCTCCTTGTTTCCTCCTCCTCTTCTCTCCTCCTTTCTAGCACTGATGATGTTCCCTAGTTGGGTCATGAAACATCTGCAAGAAAACAGCCAAGCTCAGAGAGTACCAAGGACCCCACAATCCTTCTTGTCCTCCTCCTCCTCCTCCTTCTCTCCATAAACCCCACTCCCTTCTAGCACTGATGATATTCCCTAGTCAGGTAATGAAACATCTACAAGAAAACTGCCAAGCTCAGAGAGCACCAAGGACTCCACCTGGGGCTCAGTTAAGGTGGCCGAGTCTTCCACAGTGTGGGAAGTCAGACCCCCAGAGAAGGAAATATTAAAAGGGCAGAAAAATATATTTCCTAAAAAGATATTAAAGAGACAGAAAAGCATGCCCAGTTTTTCTTAATAGCCCCAAGCCTGCCTCCCCTAAGCAGAAGCCAGCTCTGTACAAATGCAGATGTAAATCATCAGGAAAGTTGGAACTAGAAGCTTAGGAAGACAAAGACACCTAAAATCTGCATACCCCACCCAAACTCTAAGAGTCATTAGCCCCAGCACCAGGGAAGCAGGATATGACCTTTGGGACATAATAGGATTAACTCACAGATGCCAAAGGAAATACAAAGCCTCAAACAGGAACAGGAAATACAAAGCCTCAAACAGGAACAGGAAATAACCTCCAAACAAAAGGCTCCAGAGGGTATAAAAACCTACTCCCCACATGTGCTCAGCCCTTTTTCTCTCCTTTTTTTCTGCCAGGACCATCTTTCTGTCTGGCTCTCCTCTCCAATAAACTGCAACCTTCTTTCTAAAGCAGTCGCCATGTTGTTTATCCCCGACTTGGACTGAACCACGGTGAAGACTTTTCTTCCAACAAGAGAGAAGAGCAGAAGATGCTATTCCCCCCTGCCAAAGATGAGGGCTTCTTTTGTGGGGGGAGGGTCCTACATTAAGTTATTCCACATAGCAATTCTTAATCTAAGTTGCAAGCCACAGCATACTCTGCTCACACAGTCATCCACCTGATGGCTTCACATGACCCCCACTAGTTAGGAGAATGAATGCTTTCCTACCACAGGCTGAACCACAAACCATCTCCAATAATTACAAGCCTAGATCAAGAGGTCAAGTGTGCATCATGCAGTCCTTCTCACGCCTGGCTACAGCAAGGGGGGGCAGTGCCCTCATTGAGACCCAGGTTTTGTCCTTTCAGGTCAAGCTCAATTGTGCTCATAAGTCACAGAACACAGAATAATGGAGTTGGAAGGTACCTTGGAGGTCTTCTAGTCCAACCTCCTGCTTGAGCAGGAGACCCGGCCTATACCATTTCAGAGAAGTGATTGTCCAGTCTTTTTTTGAAAGTCTCCAGTGTTGGGGCACCCACAACTTCTGAAGGCAAGCTGTTCCATTGGTTGATTGCTCTCACTCTTAGGAAGTTTCTCCTTAACTCCAGGTTGCTTCTCTCCCTGATTAGTTTCCATCTGTTGTTTCTCGTCTTGCCGTTTGGTGCTTTGGAAAGTAGTTTGACTCCTCCTTGTCTTTGTATGAGCCCCTCAAACATTGGAAGACTGCTATCATCTCACCGGCTCAAGGTTGACTCTGCGTTCCATCCTTTTGAGGTCGGTCAAATGAGGACCCAGATTGTTGGGGGCAAGAAGCTGACTCTGTAAACTGCTTAGAGGGGGCTGTAAAGCACTGTGAAGCGGTATATAAGTCTAAGTGCTATTGCTATTGCTATCATGTCTCCCCTAGTCAAATATTGGAAGATGCTAACATGTCACCCCAGGTCCTCCTCTCCGTAAAACTAGACATACCCAGTTCCTGCAACCGTTCTACCTATGTTTCAGCCTCCTGCCTCCTAGGCATCTTTGTTGCTCTTCTCTGCACTTTTTCCAGAGTCTGAATTTCTTTTTTGTAATGTGCTGACCAAAGCTGGATGCAGTATCCCAAATGTGGCCTTACTAAGGCTTGGTAAAGCGGTACCAGAACTTCACGTGATCTTGATGCTATCCCTCTGTTAATGCAGCCTAGGACTGCATTGGCTTTTTTGGGCTGCTGCTGCACACGGCTGGCTCATGTTTAAGTGATCGTCCACTAGGACTCCAAATTGAGGACTACCTTCGTGGCAGAGAAGAGCAACAAAGATGATTAGGGGACTGGAGGCTAAAACATATAAGGAACGGTTGCTGGAATTGGGTATGTCTAGTTTAACGAGGAGAAGGACGAGGGGGGACATGATAGCAGTGTTCCAATATCTCAGGGGCTGCCACAAAGAAGAGGGAGTCAAGCTATTCTCCAAGGCGCCTGAAGGCAGGACAAGAAGCAACGGATGGAAACTGATCAAGGAGAGAAGCAACTTAGAACTAAGGAGAAACTTCCTGACAGTTAGAACAATTAACCAATGGAACAACTTGCCTCCAGAAGCGGTGAATGCTCCAACACTGGAAGTTTTTAAGAAGAGACTGGACAGCCATTTGTCTGAAATGGTGTAGGGTTCCTGCCTGAGCAGGGGGTTGGACTCGATGACCTCCAAGGTCCCTTCCAACTTTATTATTATTATTATTATNGTGCAATGATGCTCTGGCCAGGAAGCACCGAGAGCCTCAATTTAGTCCTAATGTCATTCTCTGTCACCCTTCCAGTCCCCTTCAATTAGATTTATAAATCGTCTCTCTCCTATCTTTCCTTCCTTGTAAAATACCTTAATTTCTCCTCCGTATTAAATTTGGCTTTATGCAAACAGAAGCCGCCGGGGCAGCAGACAGCTCGGTCTCTGCATGAATGTAACCCTGACATTTGGCCAAGTGGATAATAACAAACGGTGTTTAATTTTTAGCGCCCTTCCTGGGTTATTCATCCATCGTGACACGGAGACAGGAATCCCTGCAAGCAAGCTTGTTCAATTTCCAAGCCATTAACGATTCCATTAATCGTCTGTCAATTCTACGGTCCAATCTATGCAATTAGTAGACTAATATTAAGGGGGTGATCATCATTTCTGTTTATCTAACTGACATTGGCCAATCTTTGCACGGAAGAGAAAAATGTCACTTTGCTCCAGCCCTCAAACCAGACAGAGTCTCTGATCTGGCAAATCCTGCCTGTGTCAAGGCAATATTTAAAAAATGGAATATTAGAGTTGGAAGGAACCTTGGAGGTCTTCATCTAGTCCAACCCCTGGCTCAAGCAGGAGACCCTATATCAGGGATGTCAAACTGCCAGCCCGTGGGCCGGACGCGTCATGAGGAAACTGCGCCCATCCCATTGCTGGCAATGGGGAAAAAGCTCCAATACATTGCGTGACGTTACGTGATGTTGCGAGTTTGACATGTCTGTCCTATATCATTTTAGACAAATGATTGTCCAACGTCTGGAGGCTGGTTGTTCCACTGGTGAATTGTTCTCACTGCCAGGAAATTTCTCCTTAATT